TTAGAGCCTCTGCTATCGTGCTCATTTGGCCTCCATGCAAGAACAGGCTGGATTTCAATTAGACTATAGACAAAGAGGACAGGAACAAAGCTTTCAACAAAGCCTCTCCCTAGAACCAAACTAGCATACTAAAAATGGATAATATATAAGGTAATATACCAAAGAACAACAGGACTATAAACTCACCATGTCCAGTGTAGAAGTATCGTTTCACCCTTCCTTAGAAAGGCAGAGTGGCCTCGGTTAAAGCAGGAGGTACTGAGGAACGCTGGCTCCCGAGGAGCCAAGCTCATGCTCAATGGACTCTTCAGCCCACACCAAGCCTCTGACTGACCCCTTCTGCAGGACTTGCCTCTCCAGGGCTCCTGGTCCATGAGACCAAATAACATTTCCAGCCTAAATAGCTCTAGGCTCCATTGCAATGCCTTTTCACAGCTACTCAAATTCTTTTCATGAACAGAACTTATTTTTCCCTTAGGAGCTTCCTTTCCAGGTCCCATCCCCAGTCACAGCAGTTTCTTGGTTTTTAATGCTTAATCCCCACATATGCTGTTGCTTCTCCTGTTTTCTCACCAGATCACAGCCTTTACACCACTCTCTCCTAGAATCACAGAATCAACTGGGTTGGAAAAGCCCTTTAAGCTCATCCAGCCCAACCGTCCCCCAGCCCTGTCAAGGCCACCACTAACCATGGCACTGAGGCCTCGTCTCCATGGTGTGTGAACACTTGCAGGGATGGTGCCTGCAGCCCTGCCCTGGGCAGCCTGTTCCAATGCCTGAGCACCCTCTGGGGCAGGAATTGTTCCTCAGCTCCATCTAAACCTGCCCTGGTGCAGCTTGAGGCCGGTTCCTCTTCTTCTGTCACTTGTTCACTGGGAGATGACACTGACCCCACATCACTGCATCCTCCTGTCAGGCAGTTGTAGGCAGCCATCAGGTCCCCCCTGAACCTTCTCTTCTCCACACTGAACCCCCCAGGTCCCTCAGCCCTTCCCCATCACCCTTGTGCTCCAGGCCTGCACCAGCTCCATTCCCTTCTCCGGCACCGCTCCAGCACCTCAAAGTCTCTCTTGCAGTGAGGGGCGCAGAAATGGCGCCTGAGGGGGCACAAAATGGCGGCTGTCAGATGAGGGGGTAAATACCACCCCCGGGGGGCATATAGTGACTGCAGTGGCTCCATTTCCATTCCCAATGCGGCTCTTTGGAACACTCAGCTGCTGAGCTCCTGTACATCTGAATTAAACACTGTTTCTTACCTAAATACCTTTGAGTAAATCCTCAAGGCAAATCTATAAAATAACCCCCAGGTCCAAAATGCCGGTAACACCTCCAGCATTTCAAGGAACCATCACCAGAGTCATAACCAACAGCAAAACATCATCACAGACTTGATCATCCAAACACTGGAGACATCTTTTGGCACGGAGTTAAAGAGCTAAAAGTTAACAGGAGAGATGCCCAACCATTAAACGTTAATCTAAATAAACTTCAGCACGTGAGATTGTGCTTGGATCCTTAATATTAAACGGCGCTGCTACCACTGTGAGAGATGTTTGGTTTTAAACATATACTATTCTGTATAAAACCAATGGTTGTGATTACAACATTCATATTTTACTTGAGAGAACTTCACTTGTTTCTTTAAATTAACCCCATTAAAAAGTTATAAAACACACAGAAAGATCTAAAGAACATTCTTCCTCTCAATAGTGTTTTGCTCTGCTCCAGCACCCCGCTGAAGTAAGACATTTCCAACACTACCTCAGGTACTTGTCCTTGCTGTTGGCAGCTAAGATTACAGACATGCTTTCTTCTCTTTTAACCAGCTGATTCTGCACTTCTTTACTTCCCCTTCAATACAAAAGGCATCTTTAAGCTCAACCAGACCTCTGCCTTGCTCCCAACTTAAAAGCGCAGACTATTTTCTCATCTTTAACGTGATTTCAAAGCGATTTTGTTAAATACCCAGTGAAATGTTTCTGAAGGTGTCCCGTTTCTTGGCTAAATAGGGCAAGACAACTCTAATTATTCCCTCACAAGTTTTACAGAAGTCGGAACCCAACAATAAATGTCTCAGAAAAGGATTTCCTGAGAGAGGGGGAGATTCTTCAGCTATCACGCACCAGCTTTCCACTTTGCTATGGAAGCATGGAGAATTACTGTTTTAAAATGGAAGAAACAGTTAAAGAGGAACTAAAACAAGAGGCTTATTTATACATTCAGCTTGGCATCTTATCTCGGGAATGATGTGTCTGTAACTCAGCAAAGTAACACCATCCTGCTATCACAGTAAGTCATCAAGTGTTTTGTAGGGCGTTTTACCTGCTGGGAAAATGAAGGTTCATAGACTTTGTCTTTCTTGCTCATCTTACATCTCTTTTTCAAGCTCAGTCATAGCTCTTCAGCAACAATTCATAGCAAAAAAGGGGGTATAATAGTGATGTATTACTGTATTTCTTTATTGAAAAACAGACAGCCTAATGCTATTTAAACATCAAGATCTCTAAAAGTTCACTGGAAATGTTCCATTCATGGCAATTTATGAAAATCAGCTTGAAACAAAGGTGAGGACATCCATAACTCTACTGCGATATGGCCCTGAGCAAAGCCCTGTTCCACCATGAGCTCCCCCGGGTACCATAAGAGATGTGCTTTCAGAAAGTGCCCAACTGATGTGGGTGTGAGAAAACCAAGCAAATTCATTCACTTTTCAGTCAAATCTGCCGGTCTAAAAAATCTTACTTTAAAGTTTGGGCATGTGTTCTTGCAAACGTGGGCTTGTGGAAAAGGATTTCAGCAGAAACGCTTCCCAGGTATTCTGAGCCGAACTGAGGATGTAATTAAAAAGTAGGCAAAAAAAAAAAAAAAAAGGGGGAAAAAAAGAAAAAAGGGAAAAAAAGAAAAAAGGGAGGGGGTGCAACAAACCAAACAGGGTTTTTTTTTCCTGTGCTGACGGTGCCATAAAGCCCCACTCCAGCTACTGCAACCATTTCAAAGGCAGGAAAGGCTGAGGCCTTCGCTGTGGTGTCCACTGGCTTTGAAGTGCCGAGAGCAGCTGCTCCCAGCAGATAGGAACTGTGGTGCTGCTGGAGTTATTTTTTTTCCCCTTCAAAATATACTTTCAAATCTAGCAGCTGCGAGGAGAACAAAGTTGAGCTAAAGGATATTTAAAGAAGAAAAAAGCCACTGGTTTCTCTCTAAGAGTGTTCTCACTGGATACTTCAAAAGGAAGTGGCACTGAATCAGATGAAGCTGGAACCAGGAGTGACAATGTGACAGCTGAAACCAAATAGTGCGAGATCCTCAATCTCTGCTTTGCTTTACGAACGGATTCCAGTGCGTTTGAAAAGTTGACAAAATATTGACTGCCATGGTTTGTATGGCTTTTTTCCTAATTCTTTTTCCAGAAAAATAGATAAAATATACATATATCAATATATATTGATCTAAATATCAGATAAAGATCAACAGCAGGGGGGCTGGAACTGGATGATCTTAAGGTCCTTTCCAACCCTAACTATTCTATGATTATGAATACATATCAGTATGCCTAACCTGCAGGCAATCTTTCAGTCCCACAACCAACAGCCCATGTTCACACTGGTGTTATCTCTGAAATCAGACTTCAAGGACAGTCCTGTGAAGCACAGGCAACCATTCATATGACGCAGCTCTCAAGTTCCCACACTTCCAAGATGCTTCTCAGAGTGGTAGTACATTAGTTAATTTGGTTCTTCATTACCAACGTGACTTAATTTACTGAATTGTCCAGTATGCCAAAAGTGCCATTTCTGACATTCACCACACCAACCTACACAAAATATACCTGAAGGTCAACTTCCCTTCCCTTTGTGTGTAAATTCCATTTGCCAATTAGATTCAGGCACTTGAAGCAGAACATCCCAAAGTAATTACTACATTTCTTAGGTAGCTAAAGTATTCTTTGTTTTGGTTGGGTGTCTGTTTCAGCACTGGATGTCTGCTGGAGCCCTGCTGAAATGCACCACCAGTTCCAACTTACTGCTCTATTTAAACAGTTTAAATCAGTCTATTCCTCCCCAAGAAACAACCAAAGAAATACGAAGTAAAACAAGGCAAGGAAAAATCTGTTTTAAAAACAGTTTAGAAGTTCTGAAGCATAAACAGAGACTGATACAGAGAAACAGAAGTTGGAACTACTGGAAGGAAATATTAAGAGTGGAAGAACTGAGCTCATACCGCTTTGTAGGTGGGCTGAAGGAGCTTTGTGCTGCAGGAATGACAATACAAAAAGAACCTGGTGGAAATGTAAATCCACACAAAAAACATTGATAAGAGAACTTTAAGCTTAAGACTAAGAGTATCACTGCTATAAGTTACAAATTCAGTCCTTTACCAGGCATTACCCAAACTGATGCCACATCACTTCCATGAGCAAGTACCTTCCTTACGCAAGTGTTTCACGGGCTGTTTCAGATGTGTAGCTCTCAAGCCTGTATCACACAATAATTCGTCTACTTCTCTCTCTTTCTGGTTTTCCATTTCCACTTCACAACAGTACTGAATTGGGCTTTCTTGTCTCCACCCAAATGTTTCCTGAATATTTCCCAACCCTGAAATTATACTACAATACAGAAAACTCACTATCAGTGGGCCAAAACAAGCATTCGTATGAACACTCCCCATGCTAAAAGATGATAAAAAGAGTAAAACGCTGTTTCTAGACAAGAAGAAAAACAGATAACACATTGAATAATTTCATCTGGCCACTATGAAAATAGGTGTTGCCACCTGTAAGCCTGGGAAATGATTTGAAAGAGGTACAAAGATCACAACAGGGAAACAAAAATATTTTCTATGTAGACTTTTTCCCCTTCCATTCTCCATCACATAAACTGTGCCCACTATAAATTGTGTCTTTATACAAAGCACAGAAATGCGCAGCAGGAACAGGATCTGACCTACATCTGTGTGGGAATGTGTCCCTCCTCCCCTCCACGTGAAGGAGCAAACCGACTGACCTGTTGCTCGTATCTCTGCTTCAGCTCTTCCAATTGCCAGGAGAATTCTTTGGATTGCTTTTCCCGGAGCGATTTTGATCTGCTTAGATCTGCTTCAACCTTTTCCATCTACATGGTAAAAGAAAGGGAATATTTAATTTTTTGTTTTAAAAAGGCATAGCTTGAAACGTTCTGATGTTTCTACAGTTGTTCACAGACCATCAAAGCAGAATATAACTTGCTGAGAATGATAATGACACTATTTGTGTGTAGTGGAAATGAATATTCAGTTACTAGAGGATTATTAGTTATTTAAGGACACAGTGACCACCTATACAATGCCACTCCCTGATTACAAAATACTGGCTCTGTTTTCCACTCAACAGTGGGAAACATCCCATCAAAATTAAGTGAATGTTTTTTCTAGTCATATTTAAGACTCAAATATATTTCACTCAAAAATACATTGCCTGTGGAAATTCAAGGGAAATCATATGTGAGTCAGTGCACAAACTCCACATTTAAAGTAAGCTTATATTAAATCAGTAAAATAACTTAAAAGAGAATTATTTGGCTGCAAGTAAAGTACTCTGAAGATAGTCATCGCCTGTGAATAATGAGTCCCACCGATTCCAGCACACAGCATCAAGGAAGCAATTTCATAACTCAATTAACAAAGGCTTTTGTATCAAAAGCACAACCGCAGATGCACATCAGGCATGGTTCCAGAGGAAAATACATATATACATATACAAATATATATATGCACACAGAAGGTACTATGCTGCCATGCATACTCATCGACGACTTTTCGATCTAGGTCCCAACACAAGCAGCAAATAAACCATCTCCCTAAAAATGGGAGCGAAGGGGTGTCGCTGTCAGGAGGACCAGTGCAGCCACAAGTCCATCTGCTGTACCAAAAGAATAAAAGCCCAAATTCCTGAACCATGAGCCAAAAGCCTGTTTGGCCTAAGGGAGTGCTCAGTCTTCCACAGATGTCTTTGCCAATCGGCCTGGACATCACTTCTAAGCCAGGGAAAGAGGAGAAAAGGCAGTACTTGGAATGGGAAAAGCATTATATTGGAAAACACTGCAGCAAGAGAAAGCTACAGGACAAGGAATAGTTGGCCAGATAGAAAGCTGAAAAATAGAACAGAAAGGAACAAGTTATCCTTCCAGTAGCTCCCAAACCTCACTGCTACTATGTGCTAATAAAAAGAAGGGACTTCAATGAATATTTTAGGACTAATTTCTTCTGCACCTAAACTTACTCAAACTGCATGGCCACGGCCAATTTTATTGAGATCAATAAAGAAAGAAATCCAGGAAATACTAGACCTAAAGTCTCATGACACAGCCATTGCCTTTTTTTTGTCTAATTATTACTAGAAAAAAGCATATTTTGGAGTTTATAATGTACTACTCACCTATCAGTGGGCATCAGGTGACTCTTAACAATCTCAGCTTGACAAAATAGGAAGCAGATGGCAAAAAAAAAAATACCAGAGCTAAACTAATGAATCAAATATTGATTATGAGAACTGAAAATGCCAGGCCCCATCCTTCTTATCTCCATTATTAACTTTACCACACGCCAAAACATTGTTTTAGAAGCCCAATGTTTCTAGAGTAGTTAAAAGCAGTGTTGCTATAGCTACCACAGCTTCTGCATTAGGAGTAACACATTCCACCTAACAAAAAAAAGAAAATAGAATTTGCCACGACGTTACAGTCTAATGGATGATTTATCTAAAGAGGATGTGTGTGCAGAAGAATGAGAAAGGACAAAGCTATGAAGACAGCTTCAGTAGTGTTTCTTTGATGTATTTCCTTGAACCTCAGTTCCTGTAGAACAGAACTGCTCAATGGTACAATATCACTGACTGCTTCTAGATTTTAGCATTCAAGTAGGGAGAGAATAAAGCCATGGCTGATTCATGGAGTACAAGAAAATTTGCTTTCAAAACTTCCCAGAACACAGCAATATTCTAAAAGAAATTTGCAGTCACTTGTAAATAAGAATTGACTTCAAGTTTTCCTAATTCTTTTCCACATCTTTGTGGTTTGGACTGGTTTTATTTGCTGGCCTTTTTTTAAAGTGAATAAACTATTATTAGTCTTTCTAAAATTAGATTATATCTCTTTCAGAGCAGAAGAAAGACATTATTTTAAGTCATTGTGAAGAACTTGGAGGAGAGTCTCAGCACAGAAAAGGTCAGATGAGAACTGTAGGATTTGTTGTGTTGCCCATGGATCTAGTCTGCAGAACAAATCTTGGGTTTATGAATTTGTTCTTGCTTGTTTTGTATTTCCAAACACTATCATTTGCTGTCTGCACAGATCTTAAAAATATCAGCAATGTGTCAATGTCTCACTTCTGTTGAAGATTTTCAGGAAGAAAAAATTTCATGAGAACAAGAAGGGAATTTGTTAAATTATAACCCAACATTGTTAGAAATCCATTACCGTATCAGACTGCAGCATCCTACTGTCAACAGCGAGGTTTGGTTGCTATAGGTGAGATTGGAGAACTGAGTATATGGTCAGGAAGAATTACATGGTTGACTTATGCACTGAGATTTTGACCATCCAGGTAGGTTCAGGGAATATTCCCTTCTCTTCCCTTCTTTTTGATCACCTGTTGCTTTTTCTTTCTTTCACCCATTGCGCTGCATTTGTAATATCCCAGGAACAATGGTTTAACTATTATTTATTCCATAAGGAACTTAAACCACTAAAATCTTTATATAGAAATACCTGCTACTAATTTTCAGGACTAGAAAATGGGATTTTTCTGCCCTGTGCACAGGACTGCCAGCAGCCACAATGGCTCTGCCCCTGTTTAGGCTCAAACTGATTACAAGACCTCATTAACGGAAGACAGAGTCCTCCCAAAAAGAGTAGGAAGAAACACGCATTTAAGTGGAAAATTACAACCGTTGTTCCATAGGGGTGTATAAACTAACACTTTATACTCTCACTCCTGAAAAATCCCTAATCAGTATCATAACCGCAGCTATCTTTGTAACAATGACAATTCTGGCTTTGTTAGAAAGATGAAACATCCGCTAACATCCCTTTCTGACTTGCTAGCAAAGACACTACATTGTGAAAGATTTTGATGTCGCACTCTCAAGTGAAGCATGTTTCTGGCATTATAAGATCAGAATATGCTATCCTACTGAGACAGAGTTTCAGAAAGGCTGGCATTGTGACCTCCTCACCTGCTGTTTCATTTCAGCATAGACTTTTTCTGACTTCAGCTCCACCTGCCGCTTAAACTCCTCCAGGGCAGCATCTGCCTGCTGGGCCTGCAGCCTCTGTACCTCTGTCACCCGAGTCAGCTGCTCCTCCTTCTCCCTAGAAAGTCACAGAAAATTTTCAGAGTTCAAGTATCAAATAAAAGAACAAGTGTGCGAGTGTAAAAGAGAGGCCTTTAACCCCATCAGTTTAAAATAGTATTCAGATTTCAATTTCCTGTCCCAGCTTCTGCCAAACTTCCCTTTGCAAGACTTTGAAGAAGGGAATAGAAGGCTGGAGTTATTTTCGCTTTCTCTGATTGAATTTCGCACGCCTAAACACGGCGTTCGGGGCTTACGACAATACCTCCAGCTTCAAAGTCTGCGTTGACTTGAATGGGTCAGTGCCCGCTGAATAACCCCCTTTTTTAGGCTCACCTTTAAAAGTGCATTGCCCCCTCCCATTTAAATTAATTCCTTTTAGCATTATCATCATCTCCAATTAAAAAAAACACAAAATTATCCCAGTGCCATCTTTGCTCAGACAAGATGCGGGATTATTCACTGCTTGACGTATATCAAAATGCAAAGCAGGGTAACATGTGACATATGGTACCTTCTTAATCTATTAGAAACCCATAATGCTGCAATGCCTATTCAGCCTTTAAAGTAATGACAGATGTTAAATCTTTATGCAATGATATTTCATATTAACAGCCTATACTATCTGACATATTAGACTTGAGACATCAGTTTGGGTTTCTCAAGACATCCAGTTTATCAATAGTAAAGCATGTATAACCTTTTCTGTACATGCACATATATATATCTACAACACATATAGAGACATATATAAACACACATCTGAAAAATGGACACAATCACCACACTGGCACATCACAGATAAAAATCCTGATAGCCTGTAAATACTTAAGGAATCCCATTGTGATTCCTCACATAGAAAACAATCAGGCAGCGATATTAGCTTTCTACTACACGTTTCTATTACCACAGGTCAGTGGAGTTGCCTGACTTTGAGTCAAAACACAGGGGAACCCAACGGTGGTATGGACAATGCTGGTTTGGTACAGAAGACACACTCAAGCAGACCTGTGGCTGACATTTCCATTTTACAGGCAGAGGAAGTACCTTATGCTGAATTTCCCATTTTGACAGAAATTATTTCCATATAAAACAATCTGACACACAAGAGATGGAAAAGACCTGTTAATTCATCTAGTCTGTCACGCTGCCAGCACTGAACCAGCTATTACAGCACTGAGCAAGCCTTTTATAAAGGTCAGGAAGCTGCCAAGCCCAAAGTTACAGCATTCACATCCTCTTCTGTGGTTTTCATACTAGACTTGGACAATGGGACAAAGAATCTTCCATCTTCACAAGGCGTCTGCTTGCAGTGTAGGAAAGCGGGGCAATTCTGTTAGCAAAGAGATCAAAGAGATGCCACAAGCCCTGAGTAAGGATATTACTGTTTACTTTTAGAGCTTTTTCATCATGTGTACTTGAAAAAAATACTTGATTTTGGTACCTTACTCACCGCTGACGGAATAACCGAGACAGGAGGAGACTGCTGGTTTTCTTATAGAAAAAGGGAAATACCTTTCTTACTCAGCAGAAACTGGGGCAAAACAGAACAAAATCCTGCACCACAGTTTTGGTGGTAATTGTTCAGGGGTTTGGGGTTTGCATTCATAGAACACCATCAACAGATTTTCTTCAAATATAGCATCCATCACTCCTCTGCAGACATGCTTTACTTCTACTGCCTCAGCAATGTTATTTTCTAAACTCCTTTGGGGGGGACGCATATCTGTATATTAATTTACCATATTCCCCACTCATTTACGAGACCATAAAAATTATACAGCAAAAATCCAACACCACTAAAATCAACAATGGAAGAATGACCATTTAGGGTTGAAATTTCTACTTTATAGGCCCCGGAAGATCAAAATTGCAAATATAAAAATCCTCAGACATTTCTCAGCATGGGCACACCAACAATGCCCCTAGAGCTAAAAATGAGATGAACTATCCAGTGAGTTAGTTATGCAGCAGCTCCAGCTACAAAGGCATCTGGCTCAATTATTCCCCTGAAACCCATGTACCTGGGAGCTGCTGAACACAGATATGTTTAGGTTTGATACTGTATTACACCGAGCACACCATTCCCATCTCCAACAAAATCTACCACAGGAAAGAATATAGAAACTGGTTCAGCTTCTTATAAGACCTGTGTTACAGCTCAACACCCTGAAAAGAGAAGATGGGATCAGGTTCCCCTGCAGAGCACTGTCCCCATGTGTTACCTTGGAGGGAACACAGAGAGAGGAAATCCTCAGCCTCTCCTCCCCAACATCCTTCATTCAGTTATGAGCACCAGGCAACAAACCTCCCTCCCCACAAACTACAGCTAAGACTTCCAACTCCACACTGGAAACAAAACCTAAAACCTGAAGCTTGTTCAAACATATCCACCCTGGTGTCAAGAGACCTTGGAACGTGTTAGGTTGAGTCAGATGGAAACGCAACAGATCTAAATGTAAAAGGACAATATGTCAGTCCTCGTGCTGTTAGTGAGCCTCCGAATGTATGCATCTTCTTCCTTAGGAATATATGTTTATTTGGAAATATTATGCTGCAAACCTTTAGGAATCGGGTTTTATGCACCTTCCTTTAAGGACTTAATCCCATGAATAAATGCAACATCTCATTATAACCAGGAATAAAACTTCACTTTTCAAGGATGTGGGAGCTCTACTTTCTGTGCAGTCAAGATTTGTACAGAAGCTTAGAAACCACGTACAACAATGGACCCCAGCTCACAAATGTAAGAAAAGCTTTACTTTTTTCCCCAAGACACTCAGCAATGTGCCTTGCATGAAGCACTAAAATATTCACTTTGAAGATTATTTTTTTCAGTTGGACTAGTTGTGGGGCTGAATACAATACAATTACATCACTCAAATCCCCTCAAGCTGAGCCGGCTTGAATATAAAAATAGGGTGAATTTACTCTTTGGCCCCAATTTAAAAAGCAGCAAATTCCCTTTGTTTCAGTGTATAAAGGATATGGCAGCAGAACGAGCAATCTTACACAGCACAAACCATCGCAGTGGAAGTTGACTGTGAAGTCCAGAATTGCAATTTCAGAGAGCAGCACTCTGAAGTGTAGTGATAAATGGAAAATATAAACATCTTACATACTTCCTCTTCATGCTTAATCATAAATATTTTCCTTGCTTCATAAAATGCCTTCCAAGAGATAACAACTAAACCCAGTAAGACATTACACCACTGCGAGTCAAGTTAACGAAACGCAGGGCAGTGCAGTGATTTACAGGAGAGGCTAAATAAACTCAAGCTGTCGCAGCAAATGTGGGATGAACCAGCACTGCTACTCACAGGGTCCTCACTGCTCCCACTATGAAAACAAGGCTTCACCAACAGCCCACAAGAGCAGGGGATGCACCTGCCTTGGTCTCAGCTGCTTTCAACACTTTAGGTTGCATGTAAGCACACACATGCACAAAACGCGTACCTCCGCGAGCTACATGTGGCTAACTTCTGTGGACAGAGTTCCACATCCCATTAGCAAATGCACATCCAGGCTCCCTGTGTGTAGTTTAAAGAGCTTTTGAATGATATTAAAAACAACCAACCGTGAAACTCCTGAGGTTTCCTTGTAAAAATCATACCAGGCTCTAACTCATGAATATGCAAATTCTTTGCCAGGTTTTCCAGTGCTGCTGGCAACAGTGAAAGCCCGCTCATGTCCAAGCAGACTGTTGTTTGCATTGGAGCACAAAAGCAAAGCTTTTCTGGTGAGGATAAGGATAATTTCCAAGGTAAGGATACATTTTGCCACTCAAGAAACTTCTGGAGCTTGTGTTCTGATGGACTCTACATGAGCAAGAGGCTTCAGCTCTTGTCTGGCACTGGTTAGGATAACTCTGGGTTTATCCCTGTAGATAACAATCTTGCTCTATAAGGTTGAAGTATAGGCAAAGAAATGGCTGAGCCTTCAGCCCCACGGATGAAGTGGAGATCTTCAAATAGCAGTCTGCTTTGAAAGGCCAGGCTCTCCTGCAGAATACCCTGACGACCCCGCATTACGTATATGCACTGATCCTATGCATTTAGATTTGCTGCAGTAACATACATCTTTGCCCATTCCCTCCTCTCCTTTCCACATATTAATACTCCTGAGGGAAAATGGCTCACTACCCACCAATCTGCAATCTATTCACTTGCTGGGAGGCAGCTGAAGGAGAATCTTGCTGGGTTTGTTTCTAAACAGCTTTCTGCTTCATTTGTTGACACAAGAAATGGAAAACTGACTTTTTTACTAGTCTGTGTTGAAACAAAATCTGTTATCACCATTTATGTAGTCCACTTAGATTTAAAAGAACACAAAACTGTACAGACATGTGTTCCCAAGGGGGAATACAACTTGATATACAACATCATATGCAGCAATTCGAGTAGCTAAACACAACCTTCACCCAAACATGCACACTCCTCTGATGCAAAAGCAAAACAGTGACAGTTAAGTAACGTCTTCACGTGTAAATTACATATTGTGCCTAAATGCACCCATCTTAGCTGTGGTTAGAGTATCTTACTACAGAGGCAGTTATTACCAGCAAGCAATGAGGAACAACAAGGGCTCTCCTACAACGCGAGCACCCAAACATATGGGGTATGTGCAGAACACTTCTTTTTGGTGTGGAGAGGAAGAAAGACAGTGTGAAGTCATTCAAGCGGAATGATAACTAAACCAAAGCCAGATCAAAGGAACAAAGAAGAAAGACTGAAATGTGAAGCTGAAATATTTATTGCCTTCAAAACATCATCCCTATCCTGTTTGGGCCTTTAATATTTCGAAGTTGTTAGAAAGCATTCTAACTTGTTTCATCATTTCAAAGAAATAAAGGCAAATACATGAAGTAGAGAACAATTTTATCTTTCATACCCCGATTTTAAGTATAAGATGAGCTCGTCTTTATGGGAAAAAGCACAAATCCACAGTTTACAGTTTGCATAACTTGACATCAAAGAGCTGGTCTGCATTCTTTCCAGTAAGCTATAAGGATATTTACAA